GCCCTCGGCTCCAGCAAACATCATATCACTAGTCACTCAACTTTGCCAAAAATATAATCTAGATTCGCTGGCGCCGGCGAGAAACGATGGGCAGAGTTTCTTTCACCCTGATGCCCCTGTTACCTAGCAGTAAATAGGTACCTGGGAGTTAGCTGTCACGGGCTGCTTCCTGGGGGTGGAGGCCTGATCGAGGACCGGGCCGCGGGGACACTAAAGCCCCAAAATCATCTCAAGATAAGATAACAAGATAGATTGTGAGGAAATATAAATTAAGAATAAGTGCAGTATATGATGGTAAAGTAGGTCTACAGGATACTTGGAGCATACCTGCCCAAAATGCTATGCATGTACTCACCTAGTTGTGCTTGCGGGGGTTGAGCTCTGGCTCTTTGGTCCCGCCTCTCGACTGTCAATCAACTGATGTACAGATTTCTGAGCCTACTGGGCTCTATCATATCTACATTTGAAACTGTGTATGGAGTCAGCCTCCATCACGTCACTGCCTAATGCATTCCATCTGTTAATTAATGACACTGAAAAGTTCTTTCTAACGTCTCTGTGGCTCATTTTGGTACTCGGTTTCCACCTGTGTCCCCTTGTTCGTGTACCCCACACCCCCCCCCCTTGTTAAACAATTTATCTTTATCTACCCTGTCGATTCCTCTTAGAATTTTGTAGGTAGTGATCATGTCTTCCCCCAAGCTCTCCTATCTTCCAGCGACGTTAGGTGCATTTCATGCAGCCTTTCCTCGTAACTCATGCCTCTTAGTTCTGGGACTAGCCTAGTGGCATACCTCTGAACTTTTTCCAGCTTAGTCCTGTGTTTGACAAGGTATAGGCTCCATGCTAGGGCTGCATACTCCAGGATTTGTCTTACATATGTGGTATACAAGGTTCTGAATGATTCCTTACACAAATTCCTGAAGGCAGTGCGGATGTTTGCCAGCCTCGCATACACCACTGATGTTATTCTTTTTATGTGGGCTTCAGGAAACAGGTTTGGCATGATATCAACTCCTAGATCTTTATCTCTGTCCGTTTCATGAAGTACTTCAACTCCCTTTCAGTATCCTGTTTGTCCTTCTGTTTCCACTGCCTAGTTTCATTACCTTACATTTACTCGGGTTGAACTGTAGTAGCCATTTGTTGGACTACATTCAGTTTGTCTAGATCATCTTGTAGCCCCAAACTATCTTTCCCTGACTTCATCCTCCTCATAATTTTTGCATCATCAGCAAACATTGAAAGGAACGAGTCTATTCCCTTTGGGAAATCATTTACATATACAGTATCAGAAATAGTATAAGCCCAAGGACTGGACTCTGTGGGACTCCACTAGTGACACTTTGCCAAACTGAGACCTCGCCCCTTATGGTGATTACGTTTTCTGTTGCTTAGATACTCCCTTATCCAATGGAGTACCTTCCCTTTCACTCCTGCCTGCATCTCCAGCTTGTGCACTAGTCTCTTGTGGGGTACTGTGTCAAAGACTTTCTTGTAATCCAAAAATACGCAGTCTGCCCAACCCTCTCTTTCTTGCCTCATTTTTGGTGCCTAGTTGTAGAATTCAATTAATCATGTGAGGCAGAACTTGCTATCCCTGAACCCATGGTGATGTTGTGTTACGAAGCTCTTTCACTCCAGATGTTCTACTAGCTTTTTGGCACAAGCTTTTCCTTTAACTTGCATGGAAATGCAAGTTAGGGACACTGGCCTGTAGTTTAGTTCCTCCTGCCTATCCCCCTTTTTGTATATCGGGACTACATTAGCAGCCATCTAAATTTTTGGCAGTACCCCTGTTACCAGTGATTTGTTATACACAATGGAGAGTGGCAGGCACAGTGCTTCTGCTCCTTCCTTTAGTGTTAGTGGCTTTGCTGAGGTGTTAGTGGCTTTGCATGAATATAAAATTCCACTCTTGTGTAGTCTCACCAACCCATTGTACCTTCTTGCAAATAAATTATTATTATTATACCTGGGGTTTCAGGAGTTCTACTTCCCGAGCCCGACCTGGGATAACTTGGTTCAACAGGCTGTTGCTTGGAGTGGCCAGCAGGATAGAATAACACCACTACCTCAGCAGAAAAAGCAGGAATATCCAGAACTGGACACAACGAATTATTAAGGAGTTAGTTTAACAATGAGATGGATTTTTGACAAAACATCTTGAAGTGTGTTGAAATTAGATGTACTCGCCTAATTGTGCTTGTGGGGGTTGGGCTTCGTCTTTTTGGTTCTGCCACTCAACTGGTGTACAGGTTCCTGAGCCTATTGGGCTCTTTATCATATTTGAAACAATGAGTCTGCCACCACCACATCTTCCTAATATATTCCATTTCTTAACTACTCTGACACCAAAAAAGTTCTTTCTAGGGTCCCTATGGCTCATTTGGGTACTCAGATGTACGTTTTCCAAGATGTTCAGTGATCGTGATCCAGGCACACCCCTGCTGAGGTGTGCTACTTTCTTAAACTTCATTGTATAATTTTTTCAGTTGGTATGAATCTTATTGATTTGTTGCCTTAGTACATATCACATTACATAATATTTTATCTCTTACGTTTATTGCTTAATGCCAGTACATTTAAATTACTTTTAATTTACTCCACTTGGTCATTATCATACAGTTTATAATTCTTTATTTTTTACTACAGTGTTTTACTAATATATATCACACCTGAAATTGTAGACTGTGTGTGTTGTTATTTGTCTAAAATTATGTTTGATGTACAGTGCACATCTGTTCCCCAGTGCCTCTGCTGGGGAACACAAGGAAGTGGGGATGGTGAAGGTAGAGGTCATTAGTGAAGTGATGGGTGTGGCGTTCTGAGAGGCGCGGCTAGGTGGGCGCAATATGGGCAAGGCGCAGTGTGTGCATGACCACCCTGGGGCATCAGTTCATCACTGACCCACCATTTCCTGCTCTCTTGTACCCCGCCGCAACGGTAGTTAACTGCCCAGGGAGGGAGGCACGTCCTTGCCTCCACCCTCCCTCAACCTACACTTCCTCTCATCCTGCCGCATGCGTCGTGTAGCCCGCATTATGCACGTAATCTCCCTCTTGAGCCCCTCCCTTTTATGCCTGAGAATTAAAGTTTTCAGGTTAAGGAAGTAGTCCTGCGCGATCGTACATAGTTACCATATTAAACACAACTTTAGTAGGTAGATACAGTACCTTACCTTACCTTGATACTTTGTAGATACTTGGTATCTTTACATTTCTAATATAGTAATTACATTTTTGTAACACTAAGTATTTTATGTAATTCAATCATATTTTTCCTTCCTGGTACCGTGAGAATGTATGGGGAGGCATGGGATCGTTTTTGATGATAAAAGCAACCAGGTTAGCAGGTCAGTCAGTCCCTGTGGCTCGGGTACTGAGAGGGAGGGAGAGTGAGTGAGTGAGTGAGTGTTTTGCAAGTGCCGCAGCCACCTCATTACCTCTTCCTTTCCTGTCTTGATCATCTGCCACTGCACCAACGTAAATTAATTACAGTAACCTAGTAGGTGCTATTGCAGGCACCATTCTTGGGTTAAGTGGTAGCTTAATGAGGATCTCTGCCGCTCTTAGGCCGGAGATATACATAATAATTTACACGTGGAAAATATTAGAGGGGCTGGTCCCAAACCTATACACAGAAATAACACCACACGAGACCAAAAGGTATGACAGGATGTGTAGAATACCCCCATTGAAAAGCAGGGTGCAACAGGTACTCTGAGAGAGAACTCTAGCATCATCAGAGGACCAAGACTGTTCAACATGCTTCCACTACACATAAGGGGCATAACTGGCCAACCCCTCAGAGTCTTCAAGAGAGAACTTGATAAACACCACCTAAAGATACCTGATCAACCAGACTGATTCATTCATCAGGCTGCGAGCAGCCACATTCAACAGCCTGGTTGATCAGTCCAGCAACCAGGAGTCCTGATCGACAGGTCTTCGGGAGGTCTTCAGGAGGCCTGATTGAATATCGTTCAACAGCAACCAGGAGACCAGGCCGCAGGGATGTTGAGCCCCAAAATCATCGCAAGGTAGCCATACCTGGTTGATGGGGTTCTGGGAGTTCTGCAACTGCATATGCAACTGTGTGCTCAAGCTTTGCCATGAAGAACATATCAGTTTAATAGCCAGGTTTATCCTCTAGAATTCTAGATCTTTAGCAGTTTGGTGCACGATATTGAAAGTTTAGTTACCACCAAGTGCGTATTCTGGTACTGTATATATGATATCTTGTTGCATATCCATCCTGCACAGAACCTAAAAAATGGGTGTCTTATATATGTACAGTATACACAAATAAATTACAATGGCATGATTCTTATCTACCAAATTTACTAAGGAATTCCTGAAACCAGCCACTTCACATACCACAGGGGACAGATTCAAGCTAAGGAAACAAAGTGCTGAAAGAATTAGATAGTTTTCTTTTGCAAACAGAGTGGTAGACAGTTGAAACAAGCTAAGTGTTCTAGGTGGTGGTGGTGGCTAAAACCGTCAGTAATTTCAAAGCGTTATACAACAGAGTGCTGGGAAGACGGGACACCACGAGCGTAGCTCTCATCCTATAATTACACTTCAGTAATTACCAAGTGAGGCACTCTGCCAGATTTATACACAAACTCTTAGAATCTTGTTTAAAACATTTAATAAGTGTCGTTAAATGTTTGGAACACAAATTTGTGGTCTTGACTGGATTATTAACTCATTTTCTGCAGAAGGACAACATTCTGTTGTAAATTCTTGCTTGTAAAGATGTAATAACGAAGTCGGGAATAAGGTTATTGAGGGGGGTCTGAGGACAAACATACCATGTCTTGAGCACTTCCTCCATTCATATGACAGTTTGTTCAAATGCCTTTTGATAAGATTCCATACTTCATAATCATGTAAATAAATTATGCCAATTTAAAAGCTAATAATGTAAAACAAATTCTGTATTAAATAGGGTGTCTGCTATACTTTGCTAATTTTTTGTTTTCTTTGTTTCAGCCATACATGATAGACATTTGAAGACAATATCTTCCTTGGAAGTTGAATTTGAACAGGCCCTCCTTACCAGTGAAGACAGTCCATCAGACCTTCACGTCTTCAGTGAAGATGTTATTTCTTGGTACCTTTTGCTGTTCCACCCTGTATTGACAACAGTGAGGGCAGTTTTGCTACTGATTGACACCCTACACAATGGTTGAAATGCAAGTTTTCATGTGGACAGCACTGAAGACCCACCACCTTGAAATCACAGTAATATGGAAGATCTACATTATCAATGAGGCAATTTAGAGGCCTGATCTTGCACTGCAAGACATGTCAATGCACATGTTCTTAATCTGATAACACTCTGGTCTAGTATCTTATCAGGCTAGCAGTGAATATCTATTACTGTCCTGTTAATCTTAAGATCAGTATAGCCACAAGTGTTGTCAGCAATATCCTTCGTATAAGCTGAAGCTTTTTGTGATTTATAATTGTTGCAATATGCAAATAAAAATGTATAGTGTAGCAAAATAACATCTGAAATATGTGTGATTTAAGGTTTGATGCTGTATCTTGTGAATTCTGAAAAGTGCTTGTTGGCTTGACTTCTGGAAACACATCTTGAATATGAATTGCAGAAATTGTGAGATTCACAATATAAGTTTCAGTGCAGTATTTTGAGCAAGATTCTTTTGACCAGCTGGTATGCAGCATTATAATGATCCAGCTAGTGTTAAGTGAAATGTCTGACCTGGCTCGAGGGACCTTTTAGGAGATTGATGTTCTGTGACCTGTGGCTCTCGTGAGACCCGAAGAGAGATTGGCCTTACACAGGGAGTAAAGCAGTCCATCAAGTATGTGATTATGCGCTTCCCCTCATGCTCTGTAAATATATCATGCGCTAGTAACAAAGCTTAAGTTTGGATGCAATAGTCTGTTTCTTCTTGATAAGTTTGTTGTAATATTATCCATTGTATATATTATTGCTCAGCACAAAGGGATTTTAAATTTCATTGCCTTGGCAAGACCACCATAATTTTTTCTTTTAACTTGAATCAGAGCAAACCTCATGCAAATGAAATTATACTCTAAGTTTCTAATTCTGCTTTCACTTTTTTCTCATTTATTTTGCACATGCTTTGATAGAAGTAATAATATTTGCCAGTAGCACAAATTACATATCTGTTGGTGGACGGTGTAAAAGATGTGAAGCAAAGTGAAATCCCTTTTGAAGATGCTGTGTATTTTTCAATGAAAACTTTATTATGGTGCAGTGCTAATGACAATGGTAGTGAGACAAAGTTTAGAGAAGTGATATGTACCAAAGTTCTATTGAAACATGAGGTTATCTTAAGCAAACATTGCTCTATGTGTAGATTTTAATCACAGATTGTATGAATATTGTGTTGCTTGTATAAGAAAGTTCTGCCTCATTTGGTGAAGCAAATCTTTTTTTTTTATCCTTTATACATATATAAAGCCCCATACATTGGACAGCTTTCTTTTGTTATAATGTCCATTACAGTACTCTGATTTTACCATTTGGCATCCTTACTGTCTGTCTTAATTTGAACTTACAAATGTTAATTTCAGCTTTGTCCACTCGTATGTTTATTTTATTGTGGCAAAGGCAGTACCTCATCCTATTCTATTTTGCTTAGAGCAACACCAAAAGAACTTTTTTGGTATACTTGGCACACTGGTCTCACTTTTTTTTTTTTTAATTTTTTGTGTATTAATGGAATGTCTGCATTACCTACTGGTACCACTTTAAATTCCATCATTACTGTGCTGTTAAACATGCCTCCTTGTTATAATAGATTTTTAAATTCACGTTAATCTCAAATCTGAATTCCCTATAATTTTTGTTTTGATTCTTTTATTTCATCTTTTTAGTGGAAATATTTACAAAGATGATAAATTAATATAGTAAATCTATACATCGTTAGGATCCATTTGTTAAAGTGGCCAGAATATAGGGCAACATTTTCCTGACTAAGTATCATGGCAATACAGGAATTGATGTCTACATGGTGGTGGATCTAACAGAATACATCTTTTGTGCTGTAGTGTTAATAGATAAGAGGAGAGTCAGCACATATCCTATTATAGAAGCCCTAATCTTAACATGTCCTTTATACTTTATAAAAATAAATCTTGACCACATTGTTAGCCCAAAGTGGACTTGAAGCCATGAGGGTAACAGCACATTATCTAGCATTTACACCATGTCTTGCGTGAGTAATGCTCATATCATTTGAATTATAACCTATTCGAATGAATGTATAATTAATTTGTTATAAAATAAATGTATTTTTAAATATGTTGAATATGTATTGCATTTTATTCCCCTATTTGATTTTTGCTAGAGATCAGGTTTTGAAGTAATTATCAAAAGAAGGCACCAAGCTGGGAAGGCTATGTAGCACCATCAAATGTGTGGGATATTCATAGGGAGCTAAATATCACTAAAGAAGCCAATACGAGAACAAAAGCACATAAGACAAACGATATACAGGTACTGTATCCGATTCACCAAGAATTCGATCTAGGGACAAGTGACCGCGAGGGACGGTTGGGAAGCAAGACACACGGAAGGCAGGACATTCAACAAGGATATGCACAACTGTAAGAAGGGACAATGCAGTTTGGACAATAAGGTGCAGGGCGGCGCTCCATTAAGTGCCCTTGAGTTAAACGTGTGTGACTAATGCGTAATCTCGCCAGAGCCATTTCCCACTGCCAGTTTCAGTACAGTAATGAGGGTAGTGTATCCCCTATGTGTATCCACTAAGAGAACACAGTTTGTTATAAGTCACAGAAGACCAATGACCCTGCCAACGGGCAAGGATTGAGGAATGAATAACTGGGTAGAAGTCAGAATAAGGGATATCTTTACGGGAGATGGGACAAGTGCGAATAGCCTCCTCAACGGCAGTGTCCGCGCGCTCATTTAAGGACACACCAATATGGCTGGGATCAGGTTTTGAAGATTATGATCAGCATGGTTATGATGGCAATATAGGCTTAATGACAGCAACAATAACTTGGCTGATCAGGAAGTCACCAAGGTAGCATGCTTTCAGGTCTGGTTACAAAATTAAAGCCAAACATTTGCAATGTTTTACGGGTAAGTTTTATTTTTTATTATTCTTAGATTTTCAAAGTCTTTACAATTATAATATCAGAAAATATAACATTTAAAGAGCACAATAAAGTAAACATTGTAACAGGAAGGAAAATGATAGGGGTGAACAAAAACATGAGGGACTCCACTTACCTTGATAGTTTTCATTAAGACGTGCCGGACCAACTGGGCTGTAGTGGATATGTGGGCATGTGGGCCACTCCAAGCAACAGTCTGTTGGACCAAGATCTCACAAGTCGAGCCTTTTGAGGTGGTGGCTGGTTTCTTGGTGTTTCATCAGCTTCTTTCTTCACAGTAGTAGTATGAAGTTGCACGAGCACATTTCACTATTATATCATGTGTGTGTATTGTCTTTGATTTTGGTCAGAGTTTTCCTATCCTTTTTGTTGTTATCTTGAGATGATTTCGGGGCTTTAGTGTCCCCACGGCCTGGTCCTCGACCAGGCCTCCACCCCCAGGAAGCAGCCCGTGACAGCTGACTAACACCCAGGTACCTATTTACTGATAGGTAACAGGGGCATAGGGTGAAAGAAACTCTGCCCATTTGTTTCTCGCCGGCGCCTGGGATCGAACCCAGGACCACAGGATCACAAGTCCAGCGTGCTGTCCGCTCGGCTGACCGGCTCCCTTAATGACAATAATCCCCCTATTCCCCGATAATCCCACCCCCTCTCTCCCGACCCTTGTTATTGGGTCTCGATCCACATCTCATGCCTATATCGTATTGCCTCTTATTGTTTGGCATTTGCGGAGCTGCGGCTGTTTGCGTTGTGTGCCTTCACTTCCATGGTGCTGGTCCACAACTTGTGTTTTTTTTTCTCTTCCAGATGGCTTGTGCTGCTCATGAGGCTTTGCTGCCCTGCTCATTCTGGTGTACTTATGTCAGGCCCTCTTTAGTACCTCCTTATTTGCCTCTGTACCCCTGTCCCCCATATGTTTCCCATGACCACTATTTTTTTCTTTTTCTTTTTCCTCCTTACACTGTTGAACCTTACATTCTCCCTTTGTCCACTTCCCTTCCGAGAGGTATGAATTGTTCTGTTGCTTTGCATTTCTCTGTTATGAGTTCTATCATCTCATTTGCTGACTTTTATTCTACAGTATTTCATTTCCCAGTGAACATCATGCAAACAAGTCCTAACCCTCCTATAGTCCCCTTTTATGTATTCTTTCATGCTTTTTATCCTTTTTCTGACTCAGTTTAACAGTGTAATTGAACATGGTAAAGCAGTGGTCACTGGCTCTTGGTACAGTAGTACACATTATTTTAAGTTCTCTACATTATAATTTTGGGTAAACACCAGATCTAGAATATCTGGTAGATCCTCTCTCTCTTGTAGGCTCCTTGATATGCTGCCATAGGAAGTGTTTGTAATGTCCAATAATCTTGCTCTCATGTTTAATTTCTACCGTGAGGATCCTATGACTATTTTTATGGTTAAAATCCCAAGTATTAGAATCTTTGCTCTGGTTCTGCTTATCACTGTGGTGACATTTTCTATTATCTTCAAGAATGTTTCATTACATTTATTATATTCCTTCCTTCACCTTCCTGGGTCAAGTTAATGAAGGGTTGTAAATACTGTATCGTCATGATCCTTGCTGTTATCTCACAAGTATGAAATCCTGCTTGTTGGTTACTTCCAGAATCTATCTCCTCAAAGTTCCAATTGTTGTTGTATTAGTAGGGTTACTACTCACTCCCACTTGTTTATCTTTCATTTTCTTGCTGCTTGGTGTATCCTTTTGGGAATATTGGATCCTCTATTGCAGTCGGTTTTACTTCTGTGATGCGATGTGATCTAACTATAATGATATGAGGTGGAAATTCTGCTACCTGTCCTTGCAGCTCTACCCTTTTATTTGTAATGACATCTGTATCTGTGTACCAAATTATTATACTCATTTACACTAAGCTGCTTGGTTTCTTTCTGGAAGTGGGGGGGGGGTAGATTCTCCCTTTGTACTGTACTAGTCACATTCCAGAGGGTGGAATTTTGAGTGTTGATTTAGTCACACCCTCATTCTCCTAGTCCTCTTTCCTCGACAGTATGATTAGGCCCAAAATCTTGCTGTGGCCAATTATTTCAAATAATTACAATACTACTCTTGCCCTAGCTTCACTAACTTCTTTCCCCCAACTTTAATGCCTGTCCCTCCATTCCCCTGTACTTCTTGCTTCAATTTCTCTTCAAATTCTGTCTTTCTTCCATACTGGAAGGTTAATGTATCTTCTCCCATCCCCTCAATCTTCTCTGGAAGTATATACTTCTTTGGAAGGTAACCTTCACTGGTCTTTGTCATTCATGGTGGATCCTTCACTGTTCTACAAGTTTTATATTTCTTAGGTTGCCACACTTTGCTAAGGATTTCTTTCAGTTAGTCTCAGTCTCTTCTCTCCTGTCATGTGGGCCCCACTAGTTCCTGTCAGGTTGTTTATAATCACAAACCATTCATTTCTTGTTTGTTGCAGTTCGCTACCTGCTTTGATCTGAACACATTTGTCACTGTACAATATTAATTTTTCAAATCTAGTAGCAAGGGGCTATGAAACTCATTAATCACTATGTTCTGTAATATGATACCATAACATACGTATGCTAAATATGAAGTGTCTTTGTAACTAGTCTTGAGATACCTAAAATAATAGATATCTAAAATTACAATACTCTAGCAAAAACCAAAACCCATATATAACTGCATTTTAACTGATTACCCATGCACTATCTGGCATTACAAAAGATGATCTGTAAATTTGGTGAAGATTCAAAAACTTTGTCGGTACAGTATATGTTCACAGAAAAACCAGTGGCATTGGAAGGTCTTCCATAGTACTTGCCTACTTGTGCTTGCGGGGGTTGAGCTCTGGCTCTTTGGTCCTGCCTCTCGACTGTCAGTCAACTGGTGTACAGATTCCCGAGTCTACTGGGCACTATCATATCTACACATGAAACTGTGTATGGAGTCAGCCTCCACCACATCACTGCCTAGTGCATTCCATTTGTCTACTACTGACACTGAAAAAATTCTTTTCTAATGTGTCTATGGCTCAAGTGAGCACTCAATTTCTACTTGTGTCCCTAGTGCATGTGCCCCCTGCTGTTAAATAGTCTGCCTTTATCTACCCTATCAATTCCTCTGAGAATCTTGTATACGGTGATCATGATCCCCCTAACTCTTCTGTCTCCCAGTGACGTGAGGTTTAATTCCCGTAGTCTCTCCTTATTTTGAGGTGATTCCAGGGCTTAGTGACCCTGCGGCCCAGTCATTCACCAGGCCGCCTCGTTGCTGGACTGGTCAACCAAGCTGTTGGACGCAGCTGCTTGCAGCCTGACGTATTGTAAGAGAGAGACCCTTGTGTAGGGAGAAATAGCAGTGCTATTGAAAGAGACCCTTGTGTAGGGAGAAATAGCAATGTTAAATGTTGAAAAACAGTCTGGAACTCTGACCCCTTTTCAGATGCACAGAGCATCATCTCAACAGGAAAATGTAATCTTAAAAAAAAAAAAAAAATGTAAACAAAAGGGATAAAATGGTTAAGAATAGGTAGATTCAATGCAAGAAAATATAGAGAAACAACAGTGTTAAATGTAGAAAAACAGCTTGGAACATTATAAGACATATAAATGAAGCATTGGGAAATGTGCATGACATGTATAGGGAGGGGACATTATTGGAACCAGGCAGGCAGGGACATGTGGCAGCCTGACATCATTCACTTGTGAGAGGGAGGCAGTGAGAACAAGACCAGTGTTGTGGATGGTCTCCAACAAATATGATAAGTGCAGTATTATAGATGTTTATAGCGGTGCTTCCCCTTTTCTTCTAGTTAGAGATAGGAATTTGTGGAAATAAGGATTTCTGGAACCCTGTGTGTAGGGGAGAGTGGTGTGTTGTTAATTCAGGTGTATGGGCTCAGCTGTGTGTCACATGGGAAGATTATCCACATTTATTTTTTATATACATTTGTAAACCCAGGCCCTTTGTAGTGACCTATGAGGAGTGGAATAGAGTAATGACCTTAAGTCCCAGGTTGTAGAGGGAGAAGGAACTTCCCCCCCCTTTCTTGTTTATATCAATCCTGTGGTTGATCCAAGTACATCCCCCCCCCCCCCCCCTGTTCTAAGAAGTGTGAGGAAATTGGTATTTGTTATATAAAATCCTTTTTGTAAAATTATACCCCAAGGTGTATTTCTTGTCCCATGTAGTTAGAACTGGTGATTATTACTATATACACCCCTGCACTTCCACTATTTATAAGAAAGTAAGAGCGGGTGTTGTTAGCGATACTTTAGGGTACGGCTTTCATTCTCGTACCTTACAGTATGAGTCACAGCCTGGTTGATCAGGTATCCTTTGGAGGTGATCCAGATCCTCTTGTCACTCCTCGTAGCTCATACCCCTCAGTTCAGGTACTAGCCTTTGGGCAAACCTTTGACCCTTTTCCAGTTTAGTCTTATGTTTGACTAGATATGGACTCCATGCTGGAGCCACATACTCCAGGATTGGTCTGACATATGTGGTATACAAAGTTCTGAATGATTCCTTACACAAGTTTCTAAATGCCGTTCTTATGTTAGCCAACTTGGCATATGCCGCTGATGTTATCCTCTTGATATGGGCTTCAGAGGACAGGTCTGGTGTGATATCAACCCCCAGGTCTTTCTCTCTCTTTGACTCTTGAACTATTTCATCTCCAAATGATACCTTGTATCTCGCCTTCTGCTCCCTACACCTATCTTCATTACATTTGCTTGGGTTAAACTCTAACGACCATTTGTGCGACCATTCCTGCAGCTTGTCTCGGGTCTTCTTGAAGCCTCAAGCTGTCCTCCTCTGTCTTAATCCTTCTCATAATTTTGGCGTCATCAGCAAACATTGAGAGGAATGAGTCTATACCCTCTGGGAGATCATTTACGTATATCAGAAACAGGATAGGTCCGAGGACAGAGTCCTGTGGGACCCCACTGGTGACTTCACGCCAATCTGAGGTCTCACCCCTCACTGTAACTCTGCTTCCTATTGTCTAGGTACTCCCTTATCCACTGGAGCACCCTACCAGTTACTCCTGCCCATTTCTCCAGCTTAAGCATCAGCCTCTTATGGGGTACTGTGTCAAATACTTTCTGGCAGTCCACTCATCCTTCTCTTTCTTCCTTAATCTGTCACCTGATCGCAGAATTCTATAAAGCCTGTAAGGTAACATTTACCCTCCCTGAACCCATGTTGATGGGTTGTTACAAAGTCCCTTCTCTCCAGATGTGTTACTAGGTTTTTTCTCACAATCTTCGCCATCACCTTGCATGGTTTACAGGTTAAGGACACTGGCCTGTAGTTCAGTGCCTCTTGTCTGTTACCCTTTTTGTATATTGAGACTACATTAGCCATCTTCTATATTTCTGGTAGGTCTCCCGTCTCCAGTGACCTATTATACACTACGGAGAGTGGCAAGCAAAGTGCTTCTGCACAACACTCTTTCAATACCTATAGTGAGATTCCATCTGGGCCAACAGCCTTTCTCATTTCCAGATCCAACAGATGCCTCTCGACCTCATCTCTTGTAATTCAAACCCTTCCAAGACCGCCTGGTTTACTGCCACCTCTCCTAGTGCAGTGACCTCACCTCATTCTATTGTGAAGACCTCCTGGAACCTCTTGTTGATTTCTTCACACACCTCTTTGTCATTCACTGTGTACCTGTTCTCACCCATTCTAAGTTTCATCACCTGTTCCTTCGCTGTTTTCCTCCTGATGTGACTGTGGAGTAGCTTTGGTTCAGTCTTGGCTTTATTAGCTATATCACTTTCATACTTTTTCTCTGCTTCTCTTCTCACACTAACATACTCGTTCCTGGTTCGCTGGTATCTCTCTCTACTTTCAGGTGTTCTGTTCGGAAGTTCCTCCACACCCTTTTGTTCAGTGGTACAAGGATAGTGCAATGCTCAGTTATAAGAGAAACCTGTGGATTACAACAATAATTTAATTTATCTTAAGGGTAGTAAACAAGTTATGTATTTAAATCTTTTAATATTTGATACTTGCTTATAACATTGGAGGGGTTTCACTAACTGTACTATCATGTACAGATTAAAGTAAATATAAATTTCTCTAACCTATGGGTAAATACATGATAAAATATCCCACCAATTCTTAAGAGCTTAATATTGAAAGATAGAACAGAACCTGTTGTGTATATTCATTGCACAAGAAGCTGCTTGTAACACTCATTAAAGAAGAAAACTGCAATGATGCCTTTTTAAATTACAATAAATTGTACAAATGATTAATCAATACTACTGTTCACTTAAATGCTTAAATGAAAAAATATCCGGCTAAAAGTGCACATGAAAAGCTACCTTCTGTTTAAGACACTCGTTTGCTTCCTAAGAATATATGGGTCCCATGTACACAATCATAATCAACACTCACCACTTGGGTAGCAAGTAGCTTTCTAATGTTCTTGCCGGGCAATACTGGTCTACTTGAAAAAGTACTAGAGGCTGGAATCCAGGCTCAATCCAGCCTAGAATTACCTAAAGTGCTCTGGAGGAAGACCTACTCAAGACAATACACTGGCAGAGCAGGAAGGTTCTGAGTATGCAGACATACAATTTGGTTGAGCTTAAATGTCTACACAGGACAATGGCAAGAAGAATGCCTTCAATGTGGAAAAAATATGCAGCTGACCTGGCTTAATCACTATGAAGCTGCTGGTATATATGGTACACAGAACAGGTCACCATAGTACCCTGCTCAGTCTCAGAGCGAATCCATTAAAACGAGACACCTCCCAAAACCACCTGGATAATTATCTAGATATTTGTAATGCATCTGAAAGCTTATTACAGTGCCAATAATAGTCTACTTGTACACTGGCAAGTGAACTTTTGTCCTAAACAGAGAATATTCTCAGTTATAACTGTGAGATGGCTAAACTTGCACCTCATATGTCATAATGGAAAGATTTCCACACACAACACCAATCAGAATGCAGTTTCTACCATTACTTGTATATGATTGGGTGAATTATGGGTTCCTCTGATGTCACTGGGAATGGGAGAAAAGTTTTATTAAAACTGTTGGCAAAGTCAGGTCAGCTATGACCTTTATTTGAAGAGTGTGGCAGGTAGCAAGAAAAATAATGGCAGTGGGATCCACACATGATTATTCAGGCGAGATGTATAAACTGCCAACCACTAGTATAATCAGATGTCGAATGTCACCAAATCTGAACTGTCAATGCGATCACCGATCCACAGACAAACTACAGCCATGGGAGTCCTTTAAAATGTTGAATAATGAATCTGGATGTTGACCTTGACAATTTGAGTATCATTCTTTTCTTGGAAGTTCTTTTTTACCAAGAGAAGCTGTGATAGAAGCTGAATCTGAGAAAACAAGGTTCAGGCTAACCCATAAGACACTGCCTGTGATGCCCAGGAATCCTTGATCTCGAGCCTGACAAAATACCCTCAGATGTCTCCACCACAATGCAACCTCCATGAAGCAAGTGGGGCCTGCTTGCTCGATCCAGAGAGGGCAACTTCAATACTCGAGTACCCACATACAATCTGTCAGAACAAAGGGTCAATTAAAATCAAAGGGCACACCTAACATTAAGTATGCCCATTGTGGGGAAAAAAACAGCAACCTCATATATCGTGTATCGTGTATTACTGCATTAAGCAGTTTTTTTCTGCCAATCACCACACTTGTGCCACTGCAACCAAACAGCAGGAAACAAAAGAATTGCTGAAGCAAAAAGACAACAGGACCTCTACCCCAGACTTCAGTACGAAGAAGCTTTAGAGCCAGGGTTTTAGACAAGTTCTAGGTTAGTTCTAACCTGATTACTCGATACCTGCTTGATGGGGTTTTGAGAGTTCTTCTACTTCCCAAGCCCGGCCTGAGGCCAGGCTTAACTTGTGAGAGCTTGGCCCACTAGGCTGTTGCTTGGAGTGGACTGCAGGCCCACATATCCACCACAGCCCGGTTAGTCCGGCACTCCTTGAAGAATATTATCTAGTTTTCTCTTGAAGATGTCCACGGTTGTTCCAGGAATATTTTCCTGGAACCTAACTGTCAAAAGCTTAAGATGAGGATGAGTGAGGAAAACCTTTGACTATACATAACAAAAAATTCTGATAGAACCACAAAGTATCAAGTGTAATCCGAGGGTACACAAATCAATACACCCCTCCATATGCAAGTGATATTTTAAACTGAATGTACTCTGTGCACAGCACAGATACTATACCCCCATCCTGGACAAAAAGTTCGAAGGCGCCACGAATGTTGTGGCAATTTCAAGATGAGAATATTCACTGAACCAGTACTGATGGTACCAGCTCCTGAAAGAATCAACACACACTAATGTCTTGAATAAATACACATGATAGGCACTCATTAGAACCATTAGCCCACTGCTAACTGTAACCAAAGCTTCTAATGATAAACAATGTCTAACTCAATTATGGAATTTGCCTGTCAACAACTGACATGGTAATTAGTCAAATTGAAATATGAAGACTCAAATACAGGTATCCTGTTTTTGTTGATTACACCTAGCAAGTTGAATGATAGCAAAAGCATTTCTTGGTAGCCTCCATGTCTCATTGAAAGGCTTTAATTTGTAGATGAATGAACCTTCTAGAGGTCATCCCAAACTGAACTTATTATTTCCAGTGTCTTCCTTGCACCACTATGACCATGCAGGGATGCTGACTTTCCTGAACAGAGGATGATCCTCAACATGGACTAGTGTGATCTTGCCTTAAGTAGCAACTGAATGTAATACATACTTTTGAAAGTGCTTAACATTAAACTCCTCTACAGTATATATGCATGTATGTGCACACACATCTATATATACAGTAGTGGTACCACCTCTGGTTGAATTAGTGAGGACCCTTAACCTCAGAGAAGTGAATAAAAAGGCACTCAAAGGGAACCTTGTAGACACCTATGTGTACTCCTGTATATTGTCTTCTACCACCACATTTTTAAGGTTTATAATACAAAAATGGAACACTAAGATATATTGCAAGCTATAAAGCTCTTGGAGATTCTTGGATGTCAGGCAGGAACCAAGAATGCAGTGGGCATTTTACCACTGCAGTGCCTGGCTAAGGAGCTGGAACAAGAAGCTGACTACTCTTGGGGTCTTATTGTTTCTATGAACCTGGAAATCTAATTTTTGAGGAATCTTTTGGCTTTTTTCTTCCAGGGTTTGAGACCCTAGTCCTACAGGGAAAAATATTTGTATTTGTGGTCCAGATTCCTGTACTTATTTGACTCTGCAATTTTCCCGTGTGTGGCAATTCCGTCTGCCTGATATGTGAAGTCAATGTGTTAGCTAGGGAGGATATGTATGTGTACTCCCACACCAGCTGCCTACCATTCTGCCATGGATGTACAGTAATATAATTCCATCTGGATACCAACAGTGTTAGCAGTATTATGGAACATTAGAAAACATGTTATATCTCTAATGGGCACTGGGCAGTGGTGAAGCTCCTCTTGATACCAACTGTTCACTGTCGTATGTGCCATCACTTGGGGGTGTTTGCTATTCAAACTATGCAGCCAATTTTCTTTTGCTTCTGTCTTGCCACAAGTACACTTATATAATGTGGGGATTTGGGCAGTGAGGCAGATTTCCATTAGTTTGAGGGGCATGCCTGTTGCAAACACAGGGATCACCAAAAAGAAATCCCCCCTGTATAGGAAGCACTGGACTTGTAATGTGAGCATCATCATGAAGTGCTTGTGTGACCTGGAGCAAGATTATAGCTGCATTTTCCATGACGCTGTTTCAGCTGTACTACTTGTTAGCTTTCGATGGAGCTGGTCAAGGAACTGGAACTACAAGTGTCCAACTCGGGAATGAATTATATGTGGGTTGGATACTGAACCATTGCTAAATCTCAAAAGGCCTTTGGTAGGATTTCCTTGATTAGGTTAGATGCTGTGGAGGATTAAAAGGCTGGTTCCGCAATCTGGGAAGCCATGCAGAGACAAAATCCACTAAGTCTGACAGGACGAGTGGCTTTTTTCCACAGAGTCGAGAGAAAGGTTGAGGCCTCATATGGAACTAGGCAAGTTATCATACTCACTTAGCTTGGGTCTATTGTGAGAAGAACACCTTAAAAAGTAGATTAGCTAGGAAAAGATTAAGCACTTGGCAAAGCAGTAAAAATGCATTACAAGTATCAATGTCAGTAATCCTGTCGTTCATTTTCTTTTAAGTCAGCTATTTTCTTTTCAAGGATTTCATCAACAGCATTCAATACAAGGGAAGCTTCAAAAAGTGTGCTGGACTCAGGATTAACTATTTGAGCATTCGGCAAAATGACTTACTTTATTTATGGTATTCAAGTTGGAAGTGACTATTTTGCATTTTTAAGGGTTCAGAGTGAGGCCTAGGTTGGTTCCTTGATCCTGGATTTTCCCGGGGTTTTCCAGGATGAAATCTGAGTAACCACCCAGAGTAACATCATCCAAAAACTAGATAATGAGCTAGCTGAACAGACTTCCTGAATATATGTGTTAAAAAATAACAGTATGTATGTGCTCACATAATTGTGCATGCAGAAGTTGAGCTTTATCTTGTTGGTCTTACTCAACTTTCAATTAACTGGTGTACAGGTTTCTGAATTTAATAAGTTCTATCATATGTATATTTGAAAATGTGGATACCACCACTTTACATATAGTACATTCCATTTGTGTACTGCTCAAACGCTGAACAAATTTGTTCTAATGTTCGTGGCTCATTTTGGTAGTTTCCATGTCCACCCCCCTTTGTCCATCCAAAATAATAGCTTATTTTCTTATATAAGGTCCTCAATTATTTCTTAATGAGATTTTTAAAAGCAGTTCTGTTGACCAACTAGTAAACACTGCTGATATCCATTTCACCTGGGCACTGGTAGACACGTTCAGTGGGATATCATTCCAAGTGTCCTCCCTGCCCGAGTTTCATCTCTCATTTGTTACCTTGAGTCCAGTCACTTTCCCTGCACCCAGTTTGATTTATGTAACCTCTCTTGAATTAAACTCTAGAAGCTATTTGTTGGCATGTGCTCAAATTTTGTCACCAGCAAACATTGAAAGGAACGAGTCTATCTTCTCTGGAAGAGCACTTACATATATCAGGAATAGGATAGGCCAATACTGACCCATTTGGGACTTTATCGATGACATGTCATCACTCGGATCTCTCCCCTCAACATGACTGTCTTTTGTTTTTTAGATGTTTCTGTATCTTCTGTGAATCCTGCCTGCTTCTCCAACTCATACACTGCACTATTTTATTGTGGAATACTGTGCTTTCTGAGAATCACTAAATATGTCATCTGCCCCATCAGTCTCTGTCTTGTCTGATTTCTATTTGTTGCCAGGTCATGGAATTCAATCGGGTTTATAAGAATATTTACCACACCTAAACCTGTGCTGGAGCAGTATTATAAAGTATCTTCTTTCCAGGTATGCTATTTAGTAGTCTCTTTTTCACTTTGTATCTTATGAAAGTTAGGGACACTGGCCCATAGTTTGGGGGTGTCTATCTCCCTTGTCTATTGACGCTACACTGGCTTTCTTCCAAATTGTTGGCAGCTCTTCTATTTGCAACTTCTTGTACACTATAGAAAATGGAAAACAAAAGACTACTACTTCTCCTCTTAGTATCTATGACAAGACTGTCTGATGCAATAATCATTACGGGCTCCTGCTACATATATTTGCTTCTACCTGTGTGTGTGTGTGTGTGTGTGTGTGTCAATCACTCTGCCACATTTGCAAAAATGTCACAGCAGTTTTATGTTCTGATTCAGTGTTGAACACTTTTTGTAGGCATGCACACACACACACACACAGTATATATATACTCTCGGGAAAAGCTATTCTAACCACTGTAATATACAAGGAGTAGCAAATGGAAAACTTTGATTTCACCTCCAACTAGGAATTAGTGAGATTCCAATAAATGATGTAATAGGTTATAGTTCCAAATGTCTCTGAAGGATCCTCATTTCCAGATCTTCATGTAATTTTTCTACCTTTCGCTGTTGTTTTACAAGCCGTTCTTGTATAATTCGTTGGCCCTCTGTAGACTGGAGCTTCTCAATGTCATCACCAGCACGCTCTTGCAATACATTAATTTGGCCCGTCATGTGCCGTACCTTCAATAAACGGTGTTCATAGTGTTTCAGCTCAGTCTGTAACAAAAATAAAAATTGTTATGATATATATTACTCTTGCACTGATATCATGCAGTTGCATTTTTTTATACAATACTCAAGTGAGAGGGGGGGTAATCTTAAGACACATGTATACATCAAAATTTATTTCTTTAATACCTTCAATGATATAGCTTGAGAGTGTGGCACTGCCCAGAATGCAGGTGACCTGATAACTGGGGATTACCCATATTAATCTGTGTTCAACCTGCATACCACTCAAACTTAACCCACACAAATAAAAACAAGGTACAAAAGTGCTTACCTGCATACCATCAAATCTGAATAACCCATTAACAAGCAAATTAGAAGGCGCCTGTACCAATAATATGAATAGCATATAATAATACAGGAATTGACAGAACGCGTGTAATTAAAGACAAACATTATAAATAAGCTTATTCACCTTCATTTAATGAGACATTTTTAATTATATACCTGCAATGCCTACAGCAATCTAACATGATAACAAAATAAATTTACTTTTTATGTAACCAATGTGTAAGTGAAAGTAGTATGACTACATACATGTAATGATTCCAGCTCTTCTTGAGTGAAGTCACCCCGGATTGCCAGTTTCCACAGCCCAGCAACTTTGGGCTCAATGAACTCCTTGCTATTGGGTCCTGTTGTTGCTACTTTGTGTAAATGATCATAGCCATCCTTCAGCTCTCTGTGCTTCTCCCTGAGGAAGAATATACCTTAGAAATTGTCACCATTTTAACTAGTAAGGCTTTCAAAAAGAGATGGACCAATACAAGATTTATTACCAATTTTATTACCAATGTTAAATGACAGGAAATTAATGAAATTCAATTAAATATACAATACAGTGTTGCTTTCTTTTAATCATTTTCAGGTGATACTGAATTCAGATTGGCTGAATTCCTTCTAAACCACCTATAGAAAGTTGGTGCCTTCTATAGGTAGTTTAGTCTCGGTTGATAATTGCAAAATTAGCAGCTAGGTTAGGGTGCTACTAAGCCTCTCTAATACTATTTAGTGCTTGAAATATGTTTACTGCTGTACTTTATGTTGTCATTCTGGCCAGGACTGAACTCCTCTCCAGAGCCTTCCTAGTACCTGTACACATATAATCTGTCAGGAATATTTGAAAAGCTCTCTGCTGCAATGGTGCAGAATATCACTGCCAACAAAAAGGAGGCCTGGTCGAGGAAAGAGTCACAGGAACGCTAAGCCCTGAAATCATCTCAAGTTAACCTCAAGATAGCCCCCATCATGAACCAGTTCACAAGAATATTCTAAGAGTTCATCTTATGCAGCATACGAGTGATCTGATCAGCATGGAGCATTTCACATTCATTTAAAACTAAACTAATTTTGTGCTTTGTTTATATTCACCCAGTCCAAGTGCTTCAGTTTGTTACCCAGCACCTTCTGTTTGCATTTGTTCATCATTAAATGTCTATGCATCATTTTTTGTTTAACGTACCTCAGTGTGTTTGAAGGGTCATTTGATGATTTTGCTGAAGCCTCCAACTCTTGTAAGGTATCAAATCGCTTAATATCATTTTCAAGGTTGTCTGAAGAAAAAATATTAAAAAAACATTAGGAAAATTTCAATTAAATCTCCTAATACTGAACATTATATCATTTTTGAACATATTTTTTGCAGTATTCAAACCCTTTCAACTATTTTTTCTTTCTCCCATTTACTGAATGCATTTTCATTTGTGGAAGTTAATGTACTACTTAATTTTGTTTAGGGAACTTATGTTATTAGGCATACTGTATACAGTGGTATCTTGGTTTTCGAATTTAATCTGTTCCCAGAGACAGCTCGTTAACCGAAAATCCGCAAACCGAAACAAATTTTCCCTTAAGAAATAATGTAAATTGAATTAATCCGTTCCACATTCCCAAAAATATTAACTTCAAAATTCATTTCATACATAATACACACAAATATTTTGTACTAGAGTATGTCCAAGTTATAACTTACCTTAATTACCTCTTGTTGGTGTATGGAAAACAGTGAGAAGGTGGGGAGGAGGAGGAGAGGTGTTAGTGTTTGGAAGGGAAGTCCACTTCCATTATAACATCAGGCAGTGATGATTTCTCTGGGGTACTCACTCTCTCCTATATTTTGCAGGAGTATCACTAGGACCTGCTTATGGCTCACTGCTTGTTTGTCTCACTAAGAACCTTTCAATAGAGACTTGTTTTTCCTCTATGGTCATCCTCACATGTGTTTTCTTAGGTTGAACCTTACCACTGACTTTCTTGGGACCGATGGCATGGTATATAATAATTACTTTTATGTTAAGAAACCAAAAAGCTGAAAAACAATAAAATTCTTTACAAAGAATTCAAGCGCGATCATCACTAGGCAGGAGGCACTGGTAAACTGAAGCGCGGTCACCCGTGCCACCAGGAACCATGTGCTCGGTCGACCCATACGTGTATCAACAAACTCGCAAAGCGAGGCAAAGCTCGTAAATCAATTCAAATTTTATGAAGAAATTGAGCTTGTAACCCAAAAAATTTGTAAAGAGGAACGTTCGGCAACCGAGGTTCCACTGTATATGAATGAACACGTCTATATTTATTAACTCATTCATTTATGTGAACAGTCATAAACTACAGGAAAAACATCCCATTTAAGAAGCCTTTTTTTGTAATAAGTTCAATAAATACAATAAGTTCTTGAAATAATGATAAAGATGGCTTTTGATTTACAATTAGTATAAAAATACTGTACAGCAGTACTTACTCTGCTCCTTCTCCATCTTGACAGAGGCAACATTGATTAAAGAATAGTAGTCATCAATTTTCTCCTGATGATGTTGGAACTCCTCTTTAAGAGCCTTCAACTCGGAATCTGCAATGTAATCAAATTGAAACTTGATCACTATACGTAGATGAACAGAAAATATTCAATTAGCAAAATTATACATATATATTTAAGATAAACTACTCTACCAAGTTCTTATAAGGTAATAAAGTAATAATTTTTGCTCTTAACACTTTTCTGAGAACTTCACTTGGAATTACGGGCGGTTTAGATAAGCGCTTGTCGGATCACGACGTAAATTTACGGTCCGTGTTATATTGGGTATATACTACTCAATCGACTTGGGGTTTGTATGAATATGTTTGCCATTAAATTTTCGTTTTCTCTAATAGGCACAGTGCCTATTTGAGAAAACGGCAATGTATTGTAACTTAGAGGAGAGACTATTGAGTTGGTGGCACAATGAGGGTAACCGCCCACTCCACACACTCTTGTGTTGGCCGCGATCATGATTCTACATTTATGTGCATATGTCTGTGTAGAGAATTTTATTCCGAACACTATACAAACAAAAAAAACGGTGTGAAACAAGTATAAACTTGAAAAATATGAGCAAAGTAAAAACTTTTTACGCTCACGGGTACAAACAAGCGTAAGATTTCACAAAGTTATTTATAAAATTTGGTAAAACAATGCTCTCTCCAAAATCCAGACACTGTATCATAATTCCAGACCGAATCCAGATTCTTGCTTACATATGTATGAGCATAAATATATACTGTACATAGGTACGAATGTACGTGTTTGCGATTTTTCTTTAGTTCTAATTGAGTACCAGTTCGATAGACCCTTCCATATTGTCAACATCCTGGTCTGGTTGCTAAAATGTTGATCTTCTATTTTTCTGGCTTAAGATAGAGTAAATTATACATTGATAGATACAGATAAAGAATTAAAGAAAAACATACGTTGTATACATACAAAACATGCAAGACCTTATATGTACTGTCCATTTACATGCATCTCTCACCTAGTAATACTCCCATCTGTAAGCATATATGATGGCCCCCAGGTTTATGTTCAGAATGTGAGGAGGCAGTAAGCCTAAAAATTTTATTTATATAGTTTCTAAGTTCATGCAGAGAGAGAGAAACCTAGTCAGTGATGCAACGTGGCAGGCATCAGGCCCTGTAGAGTAAAGAATTCACACAAAGATTTTAGGAGATGCAACAACACTGGAATCCTCAGATGTGGAGGAGTTAGACGACTGGTTGCATAAAAGGGAGATTAGCCAATTGAGCAGTGACCTGAGGTCATGAGACCAGTGAAGAGCCTGAGTGGTGTTTCCCAAGCGAGCAGGAAGACACTGTAGTCTCTTAACTTTGTGCAGAGAGATATCACTGAAGAGAGCTCCAGAAATTTGACTAATGATGTGTATGCACCATGGCCAACAAGAAAGAATTGTTGGTGCATATACGGAGATGCTCTGTACGTCTTCTCGGAGAAGATTTATTAAGCAGTTCCTAGATTTTGCAAATTGAAGTGCAAGTCAGGAGATCTAGGTGATCAGGGACCAGAGCCTCAAGTTCTACAACTGGGCAGGAGGGCCAGAGTGTATGGTTGCTTCACAACTTAAACCTCTACTAACTGCATGTTGTTTTTAGGGCCAATCCTGATCAGCAGGGAGAGTGACAAGGTGAGCAGTGAATTACAAGTTGCCATCCTGCAGTACTGTATTGCTGTGATTTTGTAATTACCCAAGTGTAGTTACAGGATGAGAGCTACGCTCGTCCAGCTCGGACACAGCTACTTGTGTCCACCAAACAATGTTGAGGAAGTGTAGTACATTTGGATACCTACTACTTTGTGGACAGAATCAGTGACCGTGAGTCAGGGATGTGACTCAAGGTGTGACAGCAAGCGGTGCATCTTCTAGTGTCATGAGGTTTAGTTGACGACACTAGTCTGTACAGTATTTATATGAGAATGTGGAGTATGAGAACATATTTATGTCCTCATACTGCTTTTGCAATAAACAGCATGAAAGTGGAAAATACAGACAACTTCTTTATGCGTGATATCCAAATCCTTGTAAATATAACTGATATCAACACGAGCGTAGCAGATTTTGAAAGAGAAATTGACAACAAGCCCATGCACTCAGCCCCAGGCCTAGACTCATGAAATTCAACATTTATAAAGGAATGCAAAGTGTCAGTAGCACAGGCACTCGGTATAGTGTGGAGAAAAAGCTTGGGCACAAGGGAGATACCAGATGTGCATAAATCAGCAGACATAGCCCCTCTACACAAAGGAGGGAGCAAAGCATTGGCAAAGAATTATAGACCACTTGCACATAATAAAAGTATTTGAGAGAATGATCAGGAGTCAGGCTACCAGTATCATGGAAACCAATGACCTCCACAACATATGCCAACATGGATTTAGAGTGGGAAGATCATGCCTCTCACAGCTACTTGACCATTACAACAAAATCACTAAGGCATTAGAAGAAAAACAGAATGCAGATGTGGTATACGCGAACTTCGCAAAGGCATTCAATAAATGTAACCATGGAGTGATAGCACACAAAATGAGGTCAATGGGAATAACTGGTTAAGTAGGATGGTGGATACTCAATTTTCTGTCGAACAGAATACAAATAGCAACAGTCAACAATATAAAATCGAGTCCAAGCGATTCTCTATACCTCAGGGTACAATCCTTGCACCACTACTTTTCCTTATTCTCATATCAGATAAAGATAAAAAAAAAAAAAGTCGCAGCTTCGTACCATCCTTTGTAGATTACACAAAAATCAGCATGAAAATTACTTCTGCTGAAGACATTGAAAAACTACCAGCAGATATTAATAAAGTTTTCAATTGGGCAGCAGAAAATAGTATGATATTTAACAATGATAAATTCCAGGTACTGTACTCAGGTACAATAAAAATGAGGACCTTAAACATAATAAGGGGTAGAAAACCCAATCAAGTCTCCCATAGTAAGAAAGTAGCATGTAAAGGATTTGGGAATAATGATATCTGACGACCTAATGTTTAGGGAGCATAACCAAGCAAATATTGCATCAACCAGAAAAATGATAGGGTGGATTACAAGAACTTTTAAATCCAGGGATCCCATCACAATGGTTGTACAGGTACTATTCAAATCACTTGTGTTGTCCCATCTTGAATACTGCTCAGTACTGTACTCACTTTCCCCTTCAGAGCAGGAGAGATTGCTGAAATAGAGGGAGTACAGAGAACATATATGGCATACAAAGACACGATAGAGCACCTAAATTATTGGGATTGTCTCAATGCTCTCCAAACGTACTCTCTTGAAAGGAGACAAGAGATATCAAATAATATACATGTGGAAAATACTGGAGAACCAGGTACCAAATCTACACAGTAAAATAACAACATTCTGGAGTGAACAAGCAAATGTGATGCAGGAAACTGTAAAATATTAAATTTTTAAATTTTGGTGGAACAAAAATTTTAATTTTAATTAATTATATAATTATCCAATTGCTCTTACATACTAAGCAGCCATTACAGTTGGTTGTATAGTACAAATGGCTGTTACTGTAATCATATATTTTCAGTTTGTTCAACATACTGTACTCTGTACAGTACATGAATATTTCATAACAAAATATGATAAAAAGCCAGAATTTAAACAGAATGTTTCAATCATTACCTGAAAATCCAGAACTTTCAGCTTTAGCCCATAACTTGTTCAGTTTCTTATCCTTGAATATAGCTTTCAGAATCTTCTGATCAGTCACCTCGTTCATATACGACTCCTTACTGTCAGCTGATTTATCTCGGAGATCATCACTCAAATTGTATCTTATCATTATTCCTATAAAACAAAAATAACAATTAACAAGCAACTTCACTTTATAATCCCTCTCCTTAACTGCGCTACCAATTGTACAGTACTTACAGATATTCAAAACTCTGTTCACCAGACATTTGGGTACACCTGTACTAGCCAAATAATTAAATTATCCAATATTTATTTGTCATCTGCTATTAATAAAAGTAAAATATTTTTGTTCGTATTTCATTAATCTGCAACAAATTAAAAAAAAAAAAAACTATTACATTTTGTGGACAGAATCGGACAGTCTGTTTTAAATAATTTACAACATTGTAATAATGCATACATTGCACTTAAAATTAGAACTAATGCCTTACAAATAAAGCATATAAATCAGTAAGCAATTATTTAACCAACCTCTTAGTTTTTTCCGTAGTTCTGCTTCTTTTAGTCCTTCCTTGTCTAATGCATCTGCTTTTAGTTTTTTCAGAGTCATTTCCTCCTTGTCTTGCACTTTAAGCTCTGAGAAAAGCGACTTCAACTTAGTTTCAGACAGTCTCTGTTAAAAAGAAAAAAGTATTTTTTTATGGTATACTGTACTGTATACAGATTTTATCCAACACAAAATGACACAGGCATGCAGGGTTCTTTATTCATTGACCATATTCACACTCTCACCATGTACCTGGTATGCTCAGGTGCTTAAACCATACTGTTTCAATGACTGCTGTTTTTCCACTGTATTACTAATATTTGTTTATGGTTTCTGCTCCTCTAATTTTTTTCCTCTAATTTCCTAATTTTACATTTACATGTGCTTGTGAACATTTCACTATACTGTACTGTACTGTAATATATCTTCATTTTACAATGTAATACTACAGTGATGGCTAAATAATGATAAATTTGTGTATATAATGTATTTAAAGTATTCTTTTTACGGACTGAAATATTAAGTACAAATGGTAATGTCCTTTAACAGCCAGAATAACATAGGATAAAAATCCACACTTGGGTATTTGTGAAATTTATGTAAAGAATTTACAGTTTTTCACACTCTCCCGAGTGCTTTGTCAAGGTCCAAGTATGTGGTAAGGACGAGTTTCATTAGTTGTCGAGATTAAGTCTCATCCTAAGAACATATTGTACTCAGACCTTGACAAAGCATTCAGGAGAGTGTGAAAGACTGTATAATTCTCTACATAAATTTCACAAATACACAAGAGTGAGTTTTTATCAGACTGAAATATTGTTAATGGAAATTATTTATGAGCTCCAAGCAAGGAAGTTATCAGGCTTCAGCTATGGAGGACACTGTACAGAAACTTAAAAATAAGGAAAACTATCAATCCAAACATATTCAAGCTAAATCTAACCATACTTAACAAAACAAAGCAGAAATTAACATTACCTAATAGGGTACATTATCCCTGAAAATAAGGCAAAGACTTTTGTTTGGTAGACCATCAAGTAGCTAGAATAAGTTTTTATACATGCACCTCGGTACTTGTATACAGTACGATGTACTAGCGCTCCCAAAACCATTACGGTATTTTTATTATCATTTTGTAGTGCTTACTAGTACTAAACTGTATATGATCAACTACAGACAAAAGATGTTTAAACTCTTTTAGGCATCCTGACAGAAGAAACGGTACACACACAGTATGGTAAGAAGATATATATTTGGCGGATACGTCCGGCGAACCATTTAACGAGCAGGTATCCAATCACTGCTGGGTAAACAGAGGCGTACAGTTAAGGATTATACCTAGTCAATCCTCCCCGGCTAGGATATGAATTTAGGTCAGATCACTCACGAAGTTCAGGACGAATGTCGTTGTGCATGTGGCTCACTCAGCAATGCTACTTTTCTCTCCTTCACACGAGAAAAAACATTCTTCATCTAAACAACAGGGGTGGGCAATGCATTTAGTCCTAGGATTACTGTCTTGTATCAAGAAAATCAACCAAACATTTACCTTAATCTCTACCACACCTACCCTAACTTAAAAGAAAACTTGAATGTGAGGGTCTTGATAGTACTGTAGGGTTCAATTTCGACTCACAATTGGGAATTATGGGTTTGAATCTCGAGTGAGGCAGCAATAGCCGGATATGCACTTTTCCAATCACCTAATGCCTCTGTTAACCTAGCAGTAAATGGGTACTCGGGACTTAATTAGTTTGTTGATTGATTGTTGCCGCCGAAGGCGGCTAGTTTATTGTGCACCCCATACTCATCCTGTGAGCGGTAGCGCAAAAGCATTACAGAGGGCACAAATAGTCACTGCTTTTCCCAAAAGCGGTGAAGTTCTGCGGGGAACGAAAACGTATTACCATGATTTTGTGTCTAACCGACTAAGTAGCGCGCGCGCAT